CCACCAGCCGTGCGCGGTCGCGGAGGGGGGAGGGGGGTGGTGGGTATTGCTGTTACGAGTCAGCAGAGGGGGGGGGGAAAAGTTGAAAAAACACGGGTCTATAGAGATTTTATTGTATTGTTTTCTTGCCGATTGCTGTTAGCCACTCAGAGTGATGTATATAAGATGGGTGGCCATATACACTTTCTAAATAAATAAAATAAATACATCTCGATAATCAGGTGTCATTTATTCCATCCTCTCAATCGTAAAGCTGCTGGAGGGATTATCCAGTTAAGAGCAAAAAGCAGCTGGGCAAGCCTCCCTCTCCTTCCTTATTTCCCTTTCCTTCCTGCAGAGGTATTAACATGTATATATTTTTCTTAACTAAATATCTAATCCCAATAAATAAGTAAGTAAGTAAAAAACAGAAGCTGATGGCGTGCCTTCTATGCACCAGGGAAACTGATAGGGAATAAACCTAGTACTGTATATTCTTTTTATTTTCATTTTTTAAAAACATTCTCCCAGGGTCTTATTTATTTGTATGCCTCCCTTGTTTTTAACAGTTATTTAAGATGTGTTTTTATTGTTTGTTTTATTGTACGCTGCCCAGAGATGGGCGGCTATATAAATTTGATAATAAAACAAAAAAATAAATTAAAAATTAAATATTGGAGTGACAGAGCTTCTCTCCTCCAGGGCAGTCTACTCTGAAGACCAGATGGTTAGGGCCATAATATGGGAGAAGGACCCTGCTCTTGTGCCCAAGGCCTTCCTGATAAACCAGTATGATCCTTATATCATTAGAGCTAATTGGAACTACTATATGTAGAAGTAGTCTACCTCAAAATATATTTTTGAACCCAGCCAGTAGGCTTATCTCATAACAGATGGGTCTTTCACAACTATTAATGGAACCTCTATCTTCAGGAGAACTTTATCTCCAAAAACCAAATGCTGGGGTCAAACCACCATATGATCGCATCTTCTTCCTTTCCTCAGAAAGGCCATGAGAAGGTACCCTCCTGGAAATAGGAAGCTTGGTTAGATGGCCTTCTGGACTGACACAGGAAGGATCTTATTGGCACTGGTTTAAAGACAGGCTGGAATACCAATAGCCAAGGCCAGTGGGTTACGGGTGTGGTAGCCAGCGAGTACCTTTGCATTATACCAAGGATCAGCAATAACACACCCTAATGAATTCTGTGCCTTTCCATCAAATAAAAACACACACTTTTTCTTAAAACCACCAAACTCTTCAGAGATTGCCAAATTCCACTGTTCCAGGGTAAGATTTGGGGACCAAACTGCTGAAACTGTGCAAGACTCAGGAGGGGAAGCCCCACCCGCAAAACGCCTCCCATCAGGGTATCTGAGCCAAGGCTCCCAAACTGGGATTCCAACATCCCAGTTGGGATTGCCCCGATCCTGCACTCACCAGAGGCTCCAATTCCTTGTTGTCTATGAGATTGAACTCTTTCACAAAATAGTAGAAGTGCTTATAGCATGTATTCACGTGGGCTTCCGAGCCCATTTGGGCAATACGATCAAAGTGGTGGATGTAGACATGGACAAAGACACGGAAGAGACGGGAGAGGATCTTTTTCACAACTTGGAGGAAATTCTTAGGAAATGGAGTACCTGCAGAAGACCACAGCAATTAATACACATTCATTCATTCATCAATTTATATACTCACTGATTTATTGAATCAATTTATCATACCCATGGCAGGAAAGATGGCAGGTGACCAGGCCAGTATTAACTATGCAAGTTGCATATCCCCAAAATTGGAGTCTCCCTTCCTTGCACCCAGAAAGGGGGGGGGGGGGAAGCCATCACAAGGAGACTTTTGTCATCCACTCTGTAGCCAAACCAGGCAACCATAATTTAAGATTTCACTGAGATATAAGCTGAGTTTACAACACTGTGCTGAACACTAATTTGCTCTTGTGTGTGAGCTCAGCTTGTGGCTTAGTCAACAGACTACAGTTAAGCAAGTCAGAGCTGAGTGTGAAGGCAGGTGCAGAGAAGACAAAGCAGGAAGAACTGGATTTCAATGGAACTTCCCATCAACATCCATTGTGGAGTTCAAAGGCAGAGGGTGGAATTTAGTAGTTACCTACCAATGAAGAGAATGGGGGTGGGCAGGCCTGGCTGCTTACAAAGTTTCACAAGGGACACCATGGATTATGAATTGCCTGAAACCCAATTATCTCAGTTCCAGTTTGAAATTTAATTTATTAAATTTGTATGCTGCCAGACTCGCAATGACTGGGTGTTTTTTCCCCTTTTCTACTTCTGAACTAAAGTCTTCAATCTCAGGAATAATCAAAATCTCATGAAATTTGATTCTCTTCAGATTCTGAATATTTAAAAAAAACATTCTGGGCCCCCAGTTATTGCACAAAGTCATCTAACGGAATCACTCCCCCCAAATGCAGACTCCTTTCTTTATGTAAGCGGCTCCATTCATGGACTGCTTTCACTGTTCAGAAATTTCTTCTGATGTTCAACCAATATTTGTCTTCTGGAATCTTAAGTTCCTTAAGACCTGCCTCTGCCCATTGAGATATCAATCTATCAGTTTTTATTTTCATCTTTTCAACAACTTTAAAAGGGTTCTTATACAGGTTCAACTCATTGCATCTGTTCAGCCTCCCCTGGGGCATCTTTAGTGACACACCTAAAAACCAGGTGGAGTTTCAATCCCACCATTGCGGCCACAACCATCTTGACTTTTCTGAACATACCACAAAGCCCATTTATCTACTACTTCTCCAAGCCTAGATCTCATCTTCCAGATGAGAACAGAGTTCAATTATTAATTCCATGACTATTAATTCAGTGTAAAATTGCATTAGCCTTTTTTGCAGTGGCATCACACCACAAAGCTCATGTTCACTTTAAGATCAATTCTGTAATTTTCTTCCAGGCTTTTTAAACCTCTTCCCACCAACTCACCAACATTTGTAGGGAAGAGATCCTCATTGTTGATCTGTACTTCAATCCAATCCATGAGAAGGTTCATATATTTAGGGGCAGAAAGGGCGGTGGGCTTGCGGTATTTCTCATCCTGCCACCGATACTCATATTTTGGGCCACCGGACATGACTGGACAGGACTTTTCTGTGCAATAGTCACTTATGGTCCCGTAAATGAGGTTGATACGGTTGAAGAAGTCCACCACGTGAACAGCCACCCAATCATTCAGCTCTTCATCAGCCGGGAGCTGCACAGCCAGCTTTAAATCCAAGCCAGCATTGAGAGACGCCTGGGCCTTTTTGTGAAGCTCAAAGCGTTGTGTCCCAGGTTCAAATTTCCGCTTAGGTCGGAAGGTCCGATCCTTGTTAAAAACTTGTTTCAAAGGATTGGCCATCTCCTGTTCCCCAAAGTTTCTGAGAACTTGAAATCCACCACCACCACCACCACGTGCTCTCCAAAGGTGACTGTTACAACCAACACCTTTAAATCTCCTTTTGCATTCCAACGGTGAACTCTGTAATCTGCAACATGACATACATAAAATGAAGTTTGAGGGAAGGGGGAAAGGAAAGAAATCTAAAGGACAGTCTCAAATTAAATTCTAAAATCTGGTTCTTTGGGTACTTCTTTTATATTCTATTCAAAATCCTATTTAAAAAACCAAGCTAGAATTGGGCAGCATTTAGACACATGGGCGCATCGAAAAATATGCCTCAGTGGAAAACAACTTTGAGAAAAAGACAGTAACAATAATAAGAGATACACAACAGCAATATCACAGATGACTTGTGCAAGGAGACAGTTCACAGCCTCATTTTAAAGAGGGAGGGAGGGGAGAGAGAGGAAGAGAGAGAGACTGACATTGATTTCTTATGGCAAAACGCTGCCCATTTGGAGAACCTTCATTGCTTTGAAGCTTCACACATTCCTAACACTTTGCACATGTCAATGACTAAAGATACAGTCCCCAGTTTAAGAACAAGTTCTATTCCCAAGGTCTGTCCTTAAGTCGAATTTGCATGTAAGCCAGAACAGTATTATTGTATATTACTGTATAAGTAGTATTATGTACTGAACTTAAACTGTTGTGTATTTAACTCGAATTTTGCTACTATAGGCTCCGTTCTTAACTATGGGTCACCTGTAGCCGGGGGACTACCTGTACAGAAATCAGCCCTGAAGTGCAGCAGCTGTGGGGGGTAGCCTGATTGAGAAAAAAAAGGGGGGAACAACAAGAAGACACCTCCTCTGCTTAGATTTCCCTCCCTTCCTATTTGATTCTTAAGTTTCCTTTAACTGCTTCCCACTCAACGGCCATGTAAGTGTAAGGAAGATTTTCCCAGGGGTGTGTCTGAACCAGACACAATTTCATCGAAAGTCCAACCAGAGACAATTTCATCGAAAGTCCATCCAGTCCAGCATCTGGTGTCCAACACGGGAAGCTTGCCAGGACATGTGAGCAAAGCCTAATTCATTCCCGATACCAACAGACTTCTTCTGAACATGGAGGTTCTCCTCCACCTCTCAGTCATGGGTAGGCCCAGCATGAATCAATCCAAGTTCCATCTGCACCAGCTCCCTGCCTCCGTTGGCCGCCAGTCAGATCCCTCCAAGAAATCCACAGGGGCAGTTTCTCCTTTCCCACAGTCTGGCATGCACAGATAGACACCTCCTAATCCTGGAAGTTCCACTAAGGTCCGGCAGAAGGGGCAAGTTGCAGACCCTGCCAGTCAAGGAATTTCAGCTGGCGGGGTCTAGGAAGAGGGCCTTTTCTGCTGTGGGATGACTGATACTGCTTCCCCCATCTTCTTCATGTGCATATTGCATGCATAGATTTGTTATTTGTGTTTTAACCAGGGGTATTTATATTTTTATTGTTTTTATTGCCTTGGTTTTTAATTGTAAGCCGCCCAGAGTCATCCTCTGGCGGAGATGGGTGGCATATAAATTTAATAATCAATGAATAAATAAAAACCAGCTTGCTTGGAGGAACCTACTGTGGAACTCCCTCCACTGGCCCCCATCCAGAAAGCCCCATTTTGAGGAGATTCCCCTGGCTGCTTCCCTAATCCGCCCAAAGGAGCTTCTGAGGCCTCTCATCGGATAAAGTTTGAGAGCGAGAGACGAGAAGGCAGTGGAGTCGAGTCAGCCAAAGAGAGACGCTGCTACTCCCCGATTACTAAGAAACGAGTCAGGGGCTGCCATTACCACATCCTGTAAGCACACAGTTCAGTTAAGAAAGCGGAAATCTAGCAGAACATTTGTCCAACTTGGCCGAAAGGAGAAGACGGAGAAGATCTCCTTTCAAACCTCAGGGCCAGTGTTTCTCAACCGCGGCAGCTTGAAGAGGGGTGGACTTCAACTCCCAGAATTCCCCAGCCAGCAAGGCTGGCTGG